CATGAACTTTCATCCACAACTCACAAAGTATACAAAATTTAACTCAAAATGGATCATCGATCTTAATAGGAAATCTAAAACTATAAAACAGCTAGGAGAAAAAGCATAGGCTTAAGCTTTATGTCCTTGGGTTTGGCAAATATTTCTTTGCTATGACACCAAACGTATCATCTATTTTAAAAAGAAACTGATAGAGTGAACTTTATCAACATGAAGACTCTTCAAAGCTCTTCTAAACACTGCTAAGCAAATGAAAATACAAGCCATAGACAGAAGTTATTTGCAGATCATATATCTGATAATGGTCTCTCTTTGTATCTGATCCAGAATAAAAAGGTCTCAAAATTCAATAATAATGCAAACACCTGAATGAATGAATGAGGCCAGGAAACACACTTCAGTAAAGATATCCAGATGGATAATAAGCATATGAAATAATGCTGATTAAAGATGCCATTAGTCATTAGAGAAATGCTTTTAAAAACCACAGTGAGATACTAGTTCACATACATACTAGAATGAATAGGATTAGAAAGACCGACCTTACAAAGTGCTGGCAAGGAAGTAGAGCAACCAGAACTGATACACACCATGAGGAATTTACAATAGTACAACCATTTTGGAAAAGTCTTTAACAGTTTCTTTAAAAAAGGTAAACACCTTTGTACCATATAACCCAGATATTCCTCATCTGGTGCTTTAGAAAAGAAAAGCATATGTCCATACAAAGACTTGTAAACAAATATTCACTGCAATTTTATTTATAATAGCTCAAGTTGTAAATAACCCATGCATCCATCAAGAAGTAAATGCAGAAAGAAATGATGGTCTATTCAAACACTGGCCACAATAAACTATTCAGTAAAAACTCAGCACTGAACAATACTCTGCTATAAGACAAATAAGCTATTAATACAGCAACACAGATGACTCTCAAAATAATTACACTGAATGAAAGAAGTCAGACAACATAGAGTAGATACTGCATGTATCCATTCATACAAGGATCTTGAAAATGCAAACCAATATGTTGTGAAAGAAAGCAGATCAATGGTTTCCAGGGGAAGAGATGGGGAGGGAGGGAGGGACAACAAAAGGCAGGAGAGAAGCTTTGTGGGTGATGGGTATGTTCACTGTCTTGAGTGTGGTCATGGTTTCTTGGGGATATACCTACGTCAAAACGTATTAAGCTGTACACTTTAAACGTGTGAAAATTGTTTTGCCAAGTATACCTCAAAGCTGTTTTAAGAAAAAAGGCACTTCAGGCCTGATCCAACTCAGCGCCTGATTGGAGTGACATGATAAGTCCCTCACCCTGTCTGCCTAACGGGAAGGTAGAAAACCTTTCACGGATGATAATGTATGGATTTTTGATCTGCAGAGTCTGCCATGTAATAAAGAATTTCTAGACATGCAACATGTCAAGACTATATGACGGATAATATGAGAATAAGAAGCATTAGACAAAGGATGTAAACCCCCAGGTGATGTAGGCATCAGAGTTACCCCTAAAGGCTATAAAATACTTTTAATATATTCAAGAAAATAAGGAAATGATGGGAGAATAGATAACAGGGTAAAGACTTTCACCAGAGAAATATACTGGAATGTATTTTTAAGAAAAATCAAACAGATACTCTAAAACTGAAACTTTCAGCTCTGGAAACAGGTAAACAGAGTTAATTAGGATCTCTTTTAAGTAAAATTTTCAGTAATGCCGGGTAAAATACAACAACAAAAGTAACACAGAGCTAAATATGGAGAGAGAATATCCCAGGTGACAATACAAAGAGGACACTTAAAGCCCAGAGTGGTCATCTTGTGAGCTGATGCCACCGCAACCTGGCGGGAAGGGGTTTTAATCTGCACATAAATAGGGATACAATGTCCATTTAGGAAAAAGGGTCAATACCAGATGTAGAAGACTCTTTCTTTATATCTATATAGTCAGAGACAGAGATATAAAGTGCAGCAGCGGTCACAGTGCCACAGGGCCCTGTGCCAAGGAGTGTGAGCACCTCTGCAACAGGGGAAATGTAGGAAGATGAATCTCTCTCTAGAGCCTTGGTGTGGAACGTAGCCTTGGCCACACGTTGGTTTTAGCCCACTGACATTGACTTTGCACTTCTTCACCCTAGAACAGTGAGAATATGAATGTGTATTGCTTTAAGCCACTGAGTCTGTGGTCCTTTGTTACAACAGCAATAGGAAAGGAACTCAGGAACCAACATGAACATGAACCACAGGCTGCCTGCAGTGCTGGCAGGAAGTCCTTTCTCTCTGATCCTGGGGGAGTCTCCTGTCTTCTGGCAGCATCCACAAACTACCTCATGCTAACTTGGCAGTTTGCAGAGGGTTAAATCTTAACCCTGCACAGTTCTTGGTATTTAGTTAATAAAAATGATGGTGTCATCATTGGTATTTTTCCATCTTTTAAATACTCTTCAGTCTTCTAATAAAGCTACTTCTAATTAAGAGACAGTATAAATAGTCTTCAATGTTCATAATAAATAACTATGGTTTTATCTGGTTACTAAAATTATGAATAATAATATTCACATTTTTAAAAGTTATTAAAATCAACATTGTTTAATGAAAATATCATTTCTTTTTGCATGAACATGTATTAACTACAAGAAATGTTCCATGCTTTGTTCTATGATTTACTGTTAGAGTCTTAAAGAATAATATTTTCCTCAAGAGATATTATGGCGAAGGGATTTCTTTTGGTGGAACAGTTTCTACATCAAATCTGGTGCATGGCTCAGGCCACTGGGAACCTAGAGATGATAGAAATTAGGAGGCATTATAAACACAGTATCATTTTTAAAGGAATTAAAAAACTGGATGTGTGAAAACAAAGAATCAGAGAATATTCTGTTGAAATAAGTGTATTTTTTAGCTTAAGCAAGACACGGGGTGAATAAATCTAAAATGAAAAAAACACCCAGAGATTAGCAGCGAGTCATGCATGCAGTGTGACTGATCAAAATCAAGTAGCTTCCAAACCAGTGTGCAGGCTTGATGCCTTCATGAATCAAGTCTGTGTGGCACCAGAACACCTCGAATACATGTTGATGAGGTATTTATAAGCCCTCCAACATCCCAGCTCAAAGCCCACACACGAGCCACACCACTATCACCTACACATCTGCAAAACACACAGCATGGTGAATAGCACTTTTCTTGTTCAGTAGCCTGTGGCAGGGCACTGTGAGCAGACAGAGATACAGGGACACAGGGACACAGAGGTACCTCCCCTCACTCAGCTGATAACCGTCCGTGCATTCCTGGGTACAGGATTGTTATAAAATGCACCATGGATTGATCCTCCTCCTAGGAAAGGAACCGTAGGGCTGCCCTCAGGTTTGAGCAAAGGTGGCCGGAGGATTTCAGAAGAGTTGTTTCAACACAACCAATAGAAATGTCGGCCACCGTGACCACGAGAGACAAGTCTCCTGCCATCCTGGTAGGCAATTGGGCTCCTGACAAAAGCTGGGCTCAGTAAAGAGTTAAGTAAAAGGCACAGACCTGAGGGATGCCCCAGCAATAGGCAGGAGGTAGGGCCTGGTTTATACTGCTCTGGGTGTCTCCCAGCCTCATCCGAATACAAAATCAGAAATTTGCAAAACAGCAGAGCTGGGATGGATCACCTACTCCTGACTCCTCACCTTACAGTTAAAAGGGTGGCATCCCTGACAGGCAGAGCAACGTGCTAAAGGCAGAGCGTGGAAGTGGCAGCGCCAAATTAAACGCACCGTGCCAACCCCCGTTCAAGGACGCTGACACTGAGGACGGGGCCAAGGTTTCCAAAGAGGAGAATGAGACAGTGTAAATACTTTGTTCCCCCCAAAACCCCAAATGATTTTTAAAGGCACAAAAACTCGACCTTAACAAGCTCTCTTCTGAGGGGGGCTCTCTTCTGTCTCTTCGTCTTTCTGTCTGCCTCCATTTCCCTCTCTCATACAGAAACACGTACAATTTCGTGAAAGGGGACTTCCTGCCATACAAAGACAGACTTCACATCTTCAGAAAGACATTTGACAAAGCAGTTTCTCAATTCAAGTTTTTGTGTGAGGTCTGGGCAGCTTCATTATTTTCTAGAAAAATTGGTGGTTCCAAAATCAGGAGATCATCTTCCCCAGAGGAAGAGTTCTGGTCCGTGTTGATGAAGTTGGGGATGTCACATTTTGTGAGGCTGTTCGGCTCCTCCTCTGGCCACTTGCTGCATCTGATGGCTTCCTGGAGCCGAATATCATTGTCAAGGGCAATGGTTGAGATACCAGCTTTGGCCTTGTCCAAGTGGTCCACTTCACTGACGTAGCAGTGAAAGAGGGACCGAGATTCGTCATTGCCCTGCCAGAGAACACCTTGGGCAGCAGCGGTCTTCTAAAGTCTGACACAAAGCTGTTCAGTCTGAATCTCTTCTCGGGAGACTCTGCATTGCTATAAAGAAAACCAAAATAAAAGGTCGCTCACACTCCAGCTCGGTGACCTGAAGAATCATAGTTTTTGCCATCTACTGAGAGCAAATCCCTGCACAGAGCATGCTGACAAGCACTGGAAGTGAAAGACATCACTTCTGAACAAATACAAATAAACCCAAGGCAAAAGTCACAAGTGAGGGCCCTTGGACTACCCTGAAAAGACATCGCTCCCTGAGAATCCTAAATATTGGTGCCTTGCACACCAGTGTTTCTCAGAGGGACACTCAGATCATCTTCACCAGAATTAGTTAAAGTGTTTCTTAAAATGCAGAATTCTGGGGTGCACACCCTCAGAGTCTCCAGAGTTAGGGACCGGTAGTCTGTATTTTCATAGCCACCAAGATCACTAAACATGCTCAGGTTTAGCACCGCGGTCTACATCGGGTCACCTGAGCATCGACAATGCTGTCTCACGGGGTGGGGGGTACCATGTGTGTCAGGGTGCTGTCCTACCCACGTGTCTCCCCTGATTCTCAGAACTGACAGTGCAGCCCCATTGGGCAAGAAATACCATCATTTCACAATGCAAACGCAGGGCGCCTGACTGAGATACAATCAGTGATAGGACAGGGAACAAAGCTCAGGTTCCTGATCCCTTGTTTCACTTACTGTGGGAAAAATGAACAATTCAAGGATAATAAATCAGTGAGTGAGTGAATAACATGACTCTCGTTAGTCCCACGAGTGCCTGGAAGAGCGAGCCTGGGCACACTGAGGACCGAAACAGCCCATCTACTTAATTGCCATCCTCCTCAGAGTTATGCAAAGGTTACTTCCACCCAGGCAGTGACTCCTGAAGGGCAAGAATCATGTCTGAACACACTCTCAAATCCAGAACAGAACCTGACAACAATTAGGCTCTGGAGTCTGTGTTTAGCGAGTGTTGAATCTCAGTGATTCCAGCTCTTACACCTTGCCTTCCCATCCCATCCCTCAAGATATGGCCCTTATGACCAGTTCTCCCGGGGCTGGGGCCACGGAACACTTTTACAGGACTGGAAGAATCTGACATGTAAACCATCCCCCAGAATATCATCAAGAGTCACATGCATTTCAGGGATCAGTAATCCCAGAAGCTTTGCAGTTCAGGCAGCCGAGGGATTCTTATATCAGCTCTGTCTTCTACTGTGACTGCCTGGATGACATCAGACAAGGAATTCTGAAAAGCCTGATCTTTTCCTTTCAGGAATAATCTACTTAAGAATTCTCGTTGACCACTCAACAAATGTGATGTGAGGATCAATGACTTACACAACAGTACAACATTCACTAGGTCGTGGATTTAGAATCAGAGAAAAATCATTTGAGAAAGATTGACAGAATGTAGCTTTAATGCAAATTTCAGTTTTCTTACCTTTCAGTAAATCATCTTCCCCTACTTATCACTTCACCCAAGTTTAAAAGATGTTTGAGAACAGGGATGAGTGTGCCAGCAATCTGTGACCCAATAACCTAAAATGTTACCTAGGAAAAAGAGGGGAGTAACACATTTTTAAAAAGCATGGTGAGGATGGCGGGGGCCATCCCCCAACTCCAGGCTAAGAAGCTCTGAGTAATAGCTTTCGTGCCTGCCTGGGGCATCAGCTGATATTAAAACCCACCCAGAAACCTCACTGTCCAGCAGCTCTTCCGTAACACAGGCTACACTTTCTCAGGATTAAGAATTGGGTCCAGTAACCACTTCGCTGAAGAGTAAAGACAAAGGAGAAGAGAGTTCTGCCCCTCACCAGGGGAGAGCCCAGACCTTGGGCTGCATGTACTGTGCCCACCTCCCAGGAGAAGGATAAACTGGAGAAGGGCGTCCTGCGAAACTGGGCAGCAAAGTTTGAGATTGGAACAAATTGACCAGCTGGCCAGGGACAACCCCCTCCGTCGCTGTCTTGGCAGCTGCCTCCGCCCCCTCAGCACATCTTGCCCACCTCCGGTGGCTAAGCTGTCAGGGAAACTGTGCTTTGTGACCAGGGGCAAAAGAGGCTGCCACCCAGCCAAGCTGCGGGGGAGATGGGAGCTATACCACTAGCTCCCAAGCGGCAGGCTCCATACCCCCGCCAACACCCCGCCGCCCCCGCACCCTACCACACCCCCGGGGCAATATGACCCGGAGAAGGGTGACCTGGGAACGAGGGGCAGAAGATGCCGCCCCCAGGTCAGGCCTCCAGAGAGATGGAAGCTTATCCTCCAGCTCGCCAGGGGCAGCCCCCCCTCCTCTCCAACCCCTGATCTCACCGCGCCCACCTCCCAGGAGCAACCAGAACGGGTGTAGGGTGTCAGGTGAATCTTGCGCGGGAGAGGCCGTCCCCAGGCCAGGTCAGGGGAGAGGAGAAGAAGTGGCCCCATTAGGCGGGGCAGCCGGCCGTCGCAGCTGCCTCTGCCCCTCGACCGCATCGCGCCCGCCTCCCAGGAGCAAGCTGACATGGAGACGGGCATCCGGCTTCTTGGGCAGCAGAGGACGCCCCCAGGATTGGCCGCGGGGAAGAGGAGAGCAAATTGACAGGCTCCGCGCTGCAGGTCCTCTACCCCTGCCTATGCAACCCCGCACCTTAAAGGCACCGCCCAGGGCGCCCCTCCCCCAGCAGGCTGAATGAGACAGGTGTGTCTGGTGATCTGGGGCAGGAGAGGCCACTCCCACACCAGGCCATAGGGGAGATGGGAGCCAATCCACCCACTCCGCAAGGCATCCCCATCCCCCCGCAGCAGCCACCACTTTTGCCCCCTGACCTCACGGTGGCCTCCTCTAAGGAGCAGGCTGACCTGGAGATGGACGTCCGGCGAACTTGGGACAACAGGGACCGCCCCCAGGGCAAACCATGGGGGGAAATGGGAGCAAATGGACCAGCTCCATGGGAAAACCTGCCGCTGCTGCCACCACACCCAACGTACCACGCCCGCCTCACGGGGTCAGGCTGACTTGGATACACGTGTCCCGTAACCCAGGGCAACAGAGACCGCCCCCAGGACAAGCCGCGGGGAAGATGGGAGCAAATGGGCCCGCTCCCCCGCTGCAGGCCCCCGACTCCTGCCACCCCTGCACCCTGACTTCCCTGCCTCCCTCCCCCAGCAGGCAAAGTGGGACAGGGGTGTCCCGGTACCTGGCGCAGCAGAGGCCTCCTGCAGGCCACGCTGCAAAGACATGGGAGCTAATCCACAAGCTCCCCCGGGGCAGCCTCCCTATCCCCGCAGCCACCAACTTACCAGCCCCCTGACCGCACCGCACCCATCTCCCAGGAGCAAGCTCACCTGGAGTCGGACCTCAGGCAAATCTCCGGCGGCAGAGGTCGCCCCAAGGCCAGGCCGCGAGAGAGAGAAGAAATGGAGCAGCTCCCTGGAACACATCCCCTCCCCCTGCCGCCGCTGCCCCGCCTCCCAGGAGCAAGCTCACCTGGAGACCGGCGTCCCGCCTCTAGGGCAGCGGAGGCCGCTCCCAGGCTCCGCCGCGGGAGAGAGCGGAGCGAATTGAGCGGCTTCCGCGCGGCAGCCCCCCTCCCCCCGTGGGCCCCTCACCTTAATGGCACCGCCCCCACTCCCCACTCAGCAAGCTAAGTGGGACAGGCGTGTCCGGCGACCTGGGGCAGCACAGGCCTCTCCCAGGCCCGGCAGCCGGGACAAGGCAGCTATTCCACCAGTTCGCCAGGGGCAGCCCCGCTCCGCCCCTCTGCCGCTGCCGCCGCCCCCTGACCTAACCGCCCCGCCTCCCAGGAGCAAGCTTACCTGGAGTCCAACATCTGGCGAATCTCCAGCGGCCAGGCCAGGCTGCAGGGAAGAGAAGAAATCTACCGGCTTGCCCGGGCAGCCTCCCAACCGCCACCGCCACCGCCGCCGCCGCCGCCGCCCCAAACCATTCCACCAGCCTCCCAGGGTCAGGCTGACTGCCAGGATGTGCACTTGCCTTCTGATCCTACCCAAGTGCCTGAGCACCTCCCTGCATCCCTACACTTCCTGCAATTCTGCACTCACGGCACTTCTGCACCCCTGAATCCCTGCATCCCCTGAACTGCCTGCGCCCTCCACAGCCCCTGAACCCCTGTCACCACTTACAGTTTTGCACTGCCTACTCTCCTGCACCCCTGAATGTCCCACACACCACCTCTTGGGCCTTTGGCAGAGTCTCTGCTGTTAGACCAATGCACA